TGTGTGTGTGTGTGTGTGTGTGTGTGTGTGTGTGTGTGTGTGTGTGTGTTGCAGATTAATCCTGTGCTGCTGCCTGATTCCTTTCTTCATGAACAAATTCAAGGATGCGCACCACACATGCCCCCGCTGCAACAGAGTGCTGCACATTGAAAAGAAACAATGCTGTAAATGATGAATGTGATGAAGAACATGGAACCATAGAAATAAGAAATAACACCCTGTTACCTTTGTAATGCAGCTTATTTCTATGGAAGCAAAAATGAAACATCATATTATCAGCAAACTCACTGGGAGTCTTTGTGTTGTCAGAGCTTGAATATCATGTACTCACTTTTTGTTTTAAAGCTCTGGCAAGTTAAATTAACCCATTTGCGCCCAAACACTCGGCTATATTTAGTATGATATTGAAAATGCGTCATGATTGGTTTAAAGTCTTAAAATCTGGTACGTAAATACTTTGGGAAAGTATCAAACGTACAACTTTGACTTTTTTTTAGAAAAATCAATTGTCAAAGTCGGGATTTTTTTTAAGAATGAAGGAAACGTTAACATTGTTTGTTAAATGTTTTCCATATGATTTTTTTTTTTTTATACAATGCATATTCGTGCACATCTTTGAAATTAAACGTGTCATGACTTCATAGATACCAAACAGTTGATTATGCTCCTTGTAGTTTCTGAGATAAATGCCGTTTTCTGTTCTTTGGGCACACGGGACGAATGTTTTCTCCTAAAATCTAGTGCAATATGTAGAAAGAAACAGTCGTCACATGTGCCCAAAGACTAGATTTAGTAAAAGCTCACTTTTTAGCAAAACGGTTTGACCGCTTTTGAAAGATTTTGTGCTTAAAACAAGCCCAGAAAACACAAAACTACAGTTGTGGGCACAAATGGGTTAAGCACACACCATGCACTTTTTAACTTAAGAGCCGTTTAACAAGAAAAAAAAACAAAAAACTTTCTCTATTATCCTTATCTGAAACTTCTGCATACATGATATCATTGAAATGAAGGCTTGTATATAAACTTTATCAAATACTTTATGTTTCAAGGGATTGTGCATTTGAAATTTAGATTTTACAGTTGGAGTCCCATATGAGTTGAACATTGATCGAATGGTTCTCTCATCGTCATGTCCTGGAGCGAACTGACACAATAATTCAGGCCGGGACTTTGACTCCGTCCCCGTCCCACACAAACCACTGATTTCATAGGCTAATCATATCTGTTGCTGTAACAGGTGTAACAGATTTTTATCACGCTTTCTCTGTTAGATTACAACAAACGTTCATTCATCTCTGTCCGTACTTTCAGTTCGTTTACATTCAGTGAAATTAATCAAAGCTACAACTTAAAAAAGTACCCAGATGATTGTGTGTGTGTACACCTTTACACTGAGTATTATATATATATATATATATATAACCGAAAGCTAAACTTGTATTACTTGTCATCGATTGTATGTACAGTCCTATAATCTCATAAATAAAGCACATATTCATCTAAAAGCAAAGCTTTGTGCTCTCGTACCTGAAGTGCTGCTGCGACTTTCTTCAACCAGTGGCTATTTCTTTGTTCTTTTTTTAAATTAATTTTCTTCATGTGCTGTAAAGTGATTACAAAACAAGTGCCGACAAGTACGTGAATTCACAAACAGCAGACGACAAAAACAAAAGGGGACAAAAGCAATCGGAGGAGTTTAACACAGTTTCAGACTAATGAGTACAAGAGTGAAAATGGAGGTCCAGCGAAATGGATGCAGATGTTTACATGTGGTGTGTGTGTGTGTGTGTGTTTTAATATGTGTTCAGGATGTTGGGTGAGTGAGGGACACTGAATATATATATATATATATACACATACATATATTGTACATATTCACAAATATCCCCATATTTATATACATACATATACATTAAAAAGAGAGGAGGAAAGAAAGAATAAATAAATTATACTAATGCCAATTGAAGAACAATAATAAAAGATGAATTAATAACCCAAATAAATAACTGAATAAAATATTTCTTTAAAAGGCTATTATGTATACATGTGTGTAATAGTAATAATAACCTTTTTAAAGTATTTCTTTATACTCTAGACAAAAGACAATAATATTGATATTGTAGCTGAGGCTACATTAGACCCAACATCAACAGCAAATCTGAATTTCTGGTCAAATTAGGCACCAGAAAAATATTCTATATATTAGAAACAATATTTTACACGTAAATGATCATGTTGGTTTTGCCATACTCTTATTATGCAACTTGCTTTCTTAAAATTCATTCATTAGCGTATCAGTTGTTCACATTAATATATTATTGTACTATAGTAGCAGGTTATAGTGTATAATGCTAATGGGGTTTGTCATGTGTTACGTTACTGGAAAAGACAAAAGTCTATTTTTTCACTAGTTGAAGCTTCATCACCGATAATCCTGAACGAGTTTGTTGGCCAACAAATAAAGTGACACAGGAACATTTGTACATTCTCACTGAGGGTGGAAAATGATTTCAATTTTGGAGAGAGAGACAGAACCATCATCAGAGAGTTTGTGAGTGAGGGCGGGGCTGGGGGGGAGGGGCTTGTAGAGGCACAGGTGAGACAGGTGGACGTCCCCACTACAATCGGCATCATCTCTGCATGCAAGACTGCAACACCTTGCCGAGGTAAGAAAGGATAATACGGGATGTATGGAAAAGAGGACTTTGTGTTACAAAATACATCCAACGTGCATGCAGGAAAGGATCGGTAGTTATTAGAAAGTCGAGATAGACGAAGAACAAACAATGTATTTGTTTGGTATGTGAGGTAGTGAGCAGTACATACATGGGTGTAGCTCAGAGGACATGCAGCTTGTGGCTTAGACAGGAAGTAAATGAGCCATTCAGATGAACTACGATCTGTTCATCTCCTGGTACTGTATGTATGTGTCTAGGCCTTCCTGCTGCAGACAGTAACACTGAGGGTCGGCTGTAGAACCTTAGATGTTACTGTAATGGACTAAGTAGTAGTAACTGTGGTAGTAAGTAGTAGTTGTACTAGAAGCTTTTACAGTAGTTATGGCAGTAGCAGCTCAGAGGCATCAGATTCAGTAGTACAATGAGAAGGATAAAATATGTTTTTCATAAACTACTTGATGTTTTCATGCCTTCAGATTCAGTAAACAACATTACAAGAGGGATCTAAATCAAATCCTTTGCATTTGATTGGACCGTAAATAAGTGGGCGGGCCTAGAATGTGGCTCCACACACACCTCCCTCGTGGCTAAAAGTTGCAGATTGATTGACGGATGGTTGTCATGAAAATATTTGTTGAAACTGGTTGCATAAACACGTCATATTTAGTTTTACAGGAAGAAAAGATGATCGGATTTTTGATATGAAAATACAGTTCTATAATGTATATTGTTAAATAGGTGCACAATATGACCAGAGATGTGACCTGAAAGGGTTAAAAATACTTTTTTTTATTTGTTTATTTCATCTCTCGCACCAGCTGCTTGTATAAAAGTGGATCTCTCTCTCTCTCTCTCTCTCTCTCTCTCTCTCTCTCTCTCTCTCTCTC